TGGGGAGCAGGCTGGCCCTGCTGACCGCTGGCCTCGCCCTCTGCAGTGACCCTCTACAACTGCTCCTTCGGCCGCAGCGACTGCAGCCTGTGCCTGGCCGCCGACCCCGCCTACGGGTGCGTGTGGTGCGGCGGGCAGAGCAGGTGCGTGTACGCGGCCCTGTGCAGCAACGTCACCGCCGAGTGCCCGCCGCCCATCATCACCAAGGTGAGTCTCCTGGGGCCTCCTCAGTGGGAAGGGGAGGGGTGCCGGCCCGCAGCCGGCCCAGCCCCAGACCCCGGCCTGCCCAAGCTGCCGGGTCAGCCGGGCTCCGCCGATTTCAGATCCAGCCGGAGACAGGTCCCCTGGGTGGGGGCATCCGAGTCACCATCCTCGGGTCAAATTTGGGGATCAGAGCGGATGATGTCAGGAGCATCACTGTAGCCGGCCAGAACTGTGCCTTCGATCCAGAGCAGTACTCCGTGTCCACCCGGTGAGTGGACAGCCCATGGCCTGGGCTCCACTGGTGGGTCAGTCCCTACCCTGGGGGCCGGGTGATGGGGCAGATGGAGAGGAAGGACGTGGGGGTGTGAGTGCCCAGACTCCCCATGGGCGAGCCAGTCGGGTGGGGCCTAGGGTGGGCCTGAGAGTGTCCCCGCCCTGCCTGTTGCCCACCCAGGATCGTGTGTGCCATTGAGGCCTCTGAGGCACCCTTCACGGGGGGTGTGGAAGTGGACATCAATGGGAAGCTTGGCCATTCCCCACCCGATGTCCAGTTCACCTACCAGGTGAGCACCTGCCTCTCCAGGACCAGGTGGGGCTTGCAAGTAGAGATGGACATGGGTGGGCCTGGATTGTGGGAGGCTCAGCCCCTTTTACCTTCTGACAATAGTCAAGGTTTGGGGGTGGCAGCCTTGGCCCGAATGCACCCATCTCTCCCCTAGGAGCCCCAGCCCCTCAGTGTAGAGCCGAGGCAGGGGCCACAGGCAGGTGGCACCACGCTGACCATCAATGGCACCCACCTGGACACGGGTTCTAAGGAAGACGTGCGTGTGACCATCAATGGCGTCCCTTGCAATGTGTGGGTGTCACCTGCAGGCCACTGAAGCTCTGGTCTGCCCTGGTCCTTGAAACGGCTGGGTGGGGTTG